TTCGCTATGTTGCCCAGGCTGGTCTCGAACTCCTGACCTCAAGTGATCTGCCCACCTCAGCCTCCCAAAGTGCTGGGATTACAGGCGTGAGCCACCGTGCCTGGCCCACCCTTGGTAATTTTACTTTATTTTTTTTTTAGACAAGGTCTCACTCACATCACCCATGCTGGAGTGCAGTGGTGTGATCATGACTCACTACAGCCTCAACTTCTTAGGCTCAAGTGATTCTCCCACCTCAGCCTCCTGAGTAGCTAGGACTACAAGCACGTGCTGCCATGCTGGGCTAACTTTTTGTATTTTTAGTAGAGACAAGGCGTCAATATGTTGCCCAGGCTGGCCTTGAATTCCTGAGCTCAAGCAGTCCTCCCGTTTCGGCCTCCCAAAGGGCTGGGATTACAGGTATGAGCCACTGTTCCCGGCCAATTTTAATTTTTGTCTTTAAAACATTTTATGAAAAGCTAGTCTTTCTGATAGCTCATTCATTTACAACTTTGCTAAATGATATTATCTCTAACCATATTTTAACACTTATAGTTTATTCATTTATATAATTGTCCTTTCCAGCATGCTCATCTATAACTCAAGACACAAAATGTAAGCATATTAATATTTTAATTTGTCTTAATAATGTTTGTTATCTCCCCAACGCCTGTCTCTAAGCATTTTTTTTAACATGGTATATATTTTATTCCAGACTGTGAAATGTTTAGAAATTCATATTGAAATTGCATAGGAATTGTGTACATTTACAGATGTTTTAAAAATGGAATCTAATTTTCCATACATGTCACGTTCTCTGTTTCAGCAAATATAAAATAATGTCCTTTTGTGTCAATAAACCTATCCATACATAATCATTTCAACGGCTGCATGGTATTTCCTTAACACTTTCCTTTGTCTAGGCATATAAAGGAAATCATATTCCCCATTCCATTTAATTGTGCTATCCTACTCTTTCAGCGTTTAGGTAACATTGAAGTAACACCTTACTTTGAATTGTTAAATATGCAGATTTGGCTTACTCTGTTCCCCAAACTGGCCTCTTCTCAACTTTCTAACTGCATTTCTCATCAAACTCCTTTTACTTGTTTTAGGCAGACTGGGTTCATCCATGCTACCAAAACAGATTATTCAATTACACACTTTTCTTCAAACCACCACTGCCCACTTCCAAGAGCAATCTAATGATTTGTGTTATCTTACCCAGGGCTAAGATGGTAATTTAAATGGGTCCTATAAGAAGTATTAATTTTAGGTTGCTTGTTGGGAAGGCTCATAATTGGGCAAGCAGGTCGGCAACTTGTCTTGCTCTCCTATCCTGACAAATTTGTTCTATCTCGACCAATTTAAATGGGTCCCTCTTCTCGGAAGCATTCCTCAAGTATCAGAGCCCACAATAATCTCTCCCTTCTTAGCTCAAGAACAGAATTTTCTAATGAGCGCATGTTTCTCATACTAATAATTACCTATGTTTGTAAGTGCACACGATGTATCTATACATGGTTCTTAAACTGAAGAAGGGTCACTTATGCCAATTTAAACATAGAACTTTATTGAAAACACAGACTCAAATAGAGAACCATATATTTAAACAACAAATAGCAGGGTAGCTTACTTAGGTGACACAGTTCACTGAAAGCTTAATACTGAAAAATATCGCAATCTGGACAGCAAGACAAAAATATCAACAAATGTGTTTTCAGTTTTGATATTCATTTGGCATCCACAAAATGATCCAGCTCAAAACAAGAGTTTGACGAAGTTAACATAAGCATTAAAAAATGTAAGTTACAACAAAAAAACAGACTGTGAACACCAAAGCACTACTCAGGGCTCTTTGGGAACATAAGGCTGATCAGCGGCGGGTGGTTAATCATATTAACTTTGTTGTCCCACCTCAGGATCATTTTGATTGTCTATTTGGGCTTGTAGTTGCTTAGCTAACTCCTCAAATTCACGAAATGCAGAAATAAGCGGCTCAAGACTAAAATCATCGTCAATTAAGGACATCTTTCCACTTTTTATAATGTTACTGATATTCTGAAACATTTTAATAACAATTTGAATATTATCATTTGTCTCTTCTATGTTAAAGAGACCCACAAATATTGAAAGAGCTTTGGCACTGAATAGTTTTTTTGCCACAGCAGGATTTTCAGACAAATTCAACAGCATTTTCAGAACATGAAACTTTGTTCTCGCATTGGCTGTGGTTAATAAGGAGAGAAACCCGGACATATAGTTGGCAATCAGTGTGTGATAGTCAATAGTCATAGTGAGGTGTCTAAGCATCCTTATTCCAGTTAGCTGCTCAAGGGAATCCACACTATGTGCAAGGGTTTCTTCACACACTTGACATATGAATGTCTCAATCATGTTTAGATTTGGATAAGGTGGAGCCATGTGAATCATATTTTCCAGAAAACTTGTCCTAACTCTAGAGGATGGATAATTAAGCAAGGTTTCAATAAGTGAGACAACACCTGAATCTCGAATGAAATCTCGGGTAAACTGAGAAGCACTTCTCATACCCATTGCAATTTTAGATATTTCATGAATAAAAGGATCCCGAATTTTGTCCATTAATAAAAGGAGTTCCTCAAACTCTTCAGAACCAATTTTCAGCTCACATTGTATGCAGCTGCAGGACCAACCCTCAGACTCTGCACTCTCCCTGGCCCTAAGATGCTCTCGAATTTCCCGGACTGACCGGTAGGAAGGATCATACTGAAATGTGAACTCAGGATCAGGCTGATTACGCTGAAGCAAAGATTCCTGCTCTTCCCCTTCTGGGCTAAGTTCCATGTTCTTGGGCTTTGCCTCAAGTATTTCAGAAGCCTCTTCAGGAATTCTAAAGGGGCTTGTGGATCGGAAGCCAACCCCATGAAAAAGACCAGGTTTGAATTCAACAGTGACCTCTTCCCAGGTTTGGGGCCTGGAGGATGCATTAAGTTCCTCAGCTGCATCTCTGAACCTATCACTGACCTTGTACACAGGACAGGGATTTAGGTCAAAGCAGGCCTCATCTCTGTCCCAGAACCAAGAACCAAATATGGCCTCTTCTTCAGACTCTGGCTTGGCCTCTTCTCTGGCCACAGCCCCCAAACTGGACTTTTCCTCAGCCCAGTACGTGGATCCGCCAATGGCCCCCTCCTCAGTTCCTGGCTCAGATTCACAGATTGCTGAAGCTCCACCCTCCAAACTGGCCTCTTTTTCTGCCCAGAACCAGGACCCAATAATGACTTCCTCCTCAAACCTGGGTTCTTGTTTGACCCTATCACCATCAACATCTTTCTGGACCCTGGGTTTCAAGGCGGTATTAGGATCTTCTTTGTCTCTGCACCTGAATCTACCATTGGCCTCTTCTCCAGGCAATACCCAGGACTGCTTATAGAACTCATCTTCAGACTCAGATTCAAAACAATCTTCTCTATTTGTCCTGAGCTTGGACCTGATATTTGCCTCCTCCCTGACTCTGGGCCTGAACAAGTTACTGGTATTTTCTCCAGCCCAGAAGGAGAATAGGTTGCCGGCCTCATCCTCAGATCCAGACCAGGAATCAACATAGGCTTCTTGCTTGGATCTGGGCCTGGACCTGGGATTAGTCTGATGTTTAGCCCTGTGCCTGGACCTGGTATTGGAGTCTTCTCTGGGCCATGATCTGATACTTGTCTCTTCTCCAGCCCAGAAAGAAGACACTGTAGAGGTCTCATCTGCTGACCAGAACCCAGACTCATTAGAGGCCTCCTCTCTGGCCCTGGGCCTGGAATAGCACCAAGACCCCATATTAGTCTCCTCCCCTGGTCCAAACCAGGGCTGGATTCCTTTCTGACCCTGGGTGCCAGGAAAGGTTTCAGCATCCACATCAACTAGTTCTCTATCCATAGACAGGCCCTTAGATTTATTAACTGATCCAGACTCAGCAGTGGCCAGTGGCCAGGCAACGGCATTAGTCTGGGACACCCCTTCTGCCTGTGACACAGCTTCAGTCCCAAATTCACTCTGGGACCATGCCTGAGCTTCATCCTTGGGCCTTGTTCCAGAGATTGCCTTGGCATCAGTTTTAGGACGAGCACCACCTACTGCCCTGGCATCAGTTTTGGGTCTAGCTCCTGCCATTCCTTGAGCCTCCGTTTTGGGTCTTGCACCACCCATTACTTGGGCCTCAGTTTTGGGCCTTGCCCCAGACATTGCTTGGGCATCAGTTTTGGGCCTTGCCCCAGGCACAGACTTGGTCTCAGTTTTGGGCCTTGCCCCAGTAGTTGCCTGGGTCCTAACCTTGGGTCTGACCACCAGAGGGACATCATTCTCTCTCTCAGCCCCAGCGATAACCTCTTCCCCAGCCTTCTTTTCAGGCTTGGCCTGGGCGCTAGGCTCAATCTCTGCCCTAGTCATGGTACAAGTTACAAAGGAAGTCCAGTAATATACTCCTCCCCCAGTCTAAACCTTAACTACAGATCTGTCACAGGTTTGTTTCTTCACACTCTGATCTTTAGGTGATTGAGGATATAAGCTTGGAAACAAAAGTTAGAGTCAATATCCAGTCCAGTAGTAAATTAGCCTCCTTCCCAAACACAGTCTCAGTCAATAATTCAATAATACAGATTGAGTGTAGAACAGGCACAACCAAGCTAAAGGAAGACAGATATTTCCTGGATGGGTGCAGACCTGTTGAGGGTGGTTGTCAGCAGCAACTCCACCACCAGCAGAGCAGCCACTGGAGGTAGATCTAGGGAGAGAGAATGAAATGAGGCTTTGAGTCTCTTCCAATTGTGTCACCCCATGTGCAGTGAGACTGATGTTGAATGCTAGGTGAGACAGCTGGGCTTTGAGAAAGTCTCTCTGGACCAGCTGCCTGCTACAAAACAGGTCCAACAACGGTGGGAAAGTGTGTCAGCAATGGGAGGGGCCAATAAGCCCCCAGATTGGACCCTAATCACTCCCAGACCCATGCTGGTCTCCACTACCCCACCCAAAAGCACACCCACTCTCATACCAACCTTCACTGATGTGGTGCAGTTTCCCCCTCCTTTTCTTGTTCAAGTGGTGTCAAGCCCCACAGCTGACAGAAGGGGGTCCTACAGACAAGTAAACATAAATGACAGAATGGAGTGTGAGTGCTTGGTAGGTAGGCGGGCACTCTGGCCCCTGTGACAAATATATCTCTTCCCATTCAAGGGTTCAATGTATCTATGGTTTCCTGTATCCCAGTCCCTGCTCTCCGGTTTTTTCTGAGTCACAACCCAACCTACACCTATCTCGTGTCTCCTGCAAGAAATAAAAAGGATGCTGGCACTGTGCAAACCCGGCAGAATAGAAGTGGGTCTGCCACTTCTACTACAGGTGGAAGTGTATCTGCCACCTGCCATGCTCTCTGTCTCCAACTGTCCCCTACATTGTCCCCTCCCCCTTCTCACCAACCTCCAGAGCTGTGAGCCAGTCTCCTCCTCCTTGCCTTTCTTGCAGAACTGGCTAGCCTTAAAGTAGGCCTATGGACAAACACATGAAAAAGTAAGACAGTCAGGATATCAGGGGTGACAGAAGAGCACTTGGTAGACAGACCAACGCCAAGGATGAGTCCCCGTATTATTGGTATGTCTTTCAACATTCGGGGTTTTGCTGGTGGAATATTCTCATTTTATTTGGGCCGTGCTTCAAGGTTCCAGAGATAACAACTCCTTCTCTTGACGTCATACTCTTCCCATTACTCCCTTCTCCAATTCTGAGGATTCACCACTAGGTGCGCCACATCCCCTTGCTCTGCGCAGCATAAAATGGGGGAAGGGCGCCGCATATTCTAGAAAACAGGTTGTGAATTGGTACTTGTCAGTATGTCTTCCTCATCACCCCTCCTTCCAAAGCCCACCCTTTCGTGCCCCCAGTTTAGGACAGTGGGGGAGGTAGGTGGGGATGGAAGGTGGGGGAAGCGCCATTAGAGAGGGGAAGATTATGAGGTGCTCCTGGATGCCGGACTTGCTCTGGTCACAGTCCCCTACCCCGATTCGGGTCCCCAGTCAGTGTTTAGCGCCCAACCCCCATCCCCACACACCTCCAGAAATCCAGGCAATATTCGTGCTCTTCCTTTATCTCAAGCCTCTCCTCTACAGATGCTCACTGTGTCCTGTCAGAATACGCCAGACCTACCGCGCAGACAGAAGACTTTGACATCAACCTGGAGCCTGTGGGAAGAAAAGGCACCCAGGACATAGAGCCCCACAAGCCCCTTTTGGGAATCGGGGCCCGGAGTAGCAAACGCGGCTCACCTCCCGCGGACTGGGTACAGAGCTGGGACGCCGACACCCGCCGGCTTCCCTCGGCGCCCCCAACAACAGCTCCCGCTCCGCCATTTCTCCCGCAGGAGCCTCCCCCACAGCCCTCTCCGGGCACAGACACGGTCGAGGGCGGGGCGCGGGCGCCTGCAAAGCTGGCTGGGAAGCGGTCAGCGCGGTTCTCCTCCGAAGGATCTGACGGTGCCTCTCAAGCCAGCCCCTCAGCCCTTGGTCCGGCCCGGCCCGCTCTGGTCACCGCCTCCCCATCGCCAGGGGTCTCGAGCACTGCGCACCTCTCTCAAGCGCCTGGCTCCCACCGGATCGTCTCCTCGTTGCCAAGCTGTCAGGGTCCGCGGGGCAGGCTGCCTGCTGTTCCACCCTGCCGGACCACCCCCGCAACCCGGACCCCCACCTCAAGCACGCGCACTTGCCTTCAGAGGCCCAGGGCCCAGGTCGTCGGCCTCCCCCTCCTCTCCTCAGCTCTCCTCTGGCGGCTCCTCACTTGGAGCCACCTCTTTCCCCGCGATCCGAATGGCAAAGACGCGTCCCGCCCCCCACGCCTCTGCACCAAAGTAGGCAGGGGCTGCGCAGGATGCGGCAAGAACCGCTCGCCGCGAGGGTGTCGGGAAGGGGGGCGGAGGGATACGGCGCGAAAGTGCTCGACGCCCCCTCCCAGGCCCACCGTAGTTCCGACCCCGAGGTGGGCGGAGCCAGGATGAGCCCCAGCCTGGGTGTGCGGATTCGCACCAGGGTGCCTCAGGAGGGCCCCGCGCACCCTAACGTGGCGACCACTACCATATTTCTGGCGCTGCTATAATATGTGGGACTGGCGGGCGGCTGGGGGCCCGGGCAGAGGACAGGATCGCGAGGTCTGGAAGAGCCGCGCTGGAGGGAACAGCGGATGGATACCAAACCGCCCAGTGATATGTCTGCACTCCCGCCCCAACAGCCCCCTTCACAAGGACTGCTGGGTGTCTGCCCTCTGTCTCTCCCCAGTTCCGTCACCCTCTTTCCTGGACGCTAATGGGAAAGCGGGTGTCAGCACTGCAGTGTGGGAGGGGAGAGGCGATTTCAGGCAATACAGGCCTGGGGCTCTAGGGTGGTCGTCCTGTGCGTTTCTTTCCCAGCTTCGTGGAGCCACTCAGGGGAGGAAGGTACACCTGCTCTTAAGTGAACTCCGGGGCAGGGGGCTCCCATCAAGGCCTCAACACTGCCCCTCCTCTAAAAGAAGGTAGACCTAGACCTCTAACCCTAGGAAACCAACCACTGGTCTGCACCAGACTCATTTCTTTCTGCCACACTGCTCTTTCTCATTTCAAATAGTGGCTCACGTTGGCATTGCACTGTCCCCACAGTTGCCCCCAAAAGAGGACCTCTCCCTGTCAGGACCCGCAGGAGGTCATAACAGTCCTCTCTCTTTGATGGCACCAGGTAGGGATGGTCCTGGCTCCTCTTCAGTTCCCTGTCAAGTCTTCTCTTGCCATGACATTTGACAGTGTGGAAATGTGGCTGGTATTCGCACCAGCTTGGATCTCAGCCACTTGCCACAACTACCTGCTGTTTCAGCAGTCATTCTCTGGAGAGGATCCCACCGTGCACCCCCCTCCCCGAGACAAAGCAACCTGGCTCCTTTTGAATCGCCCCCACATTCATCCTTTAATCTTGAGCCCCTCCTTTCCCTGCTTCCTGCATAGGACAGACAATGTGGTTAAATACGAAGTTGATGTTGTTACTGCTGTCCATTTGAAAACTCATTTAGATGCTACCCTCATTGTGTTTGGCAGGTAATGGTCCCCTAAAGATGTCCATGTCCTGTTCTCCAGAACCTGTACCATTTTATATTACCTGGCAAAGGATCATTAAGATTGCTAATCAGCTGAATTTAATTTAAGATTATGCTGGATTATCTTGGCCAATGTAATTGCAAGGGTACTTTAGATGTGGAAGAGGGAGGCAGGGACTCAATATCAGATTGAAGCACCATGAGAAAGTCTACACTGGCCATTGTTGGCTTTGAAGATGGAAGGAAGCCAAGAATCAAGAAATACAGGCTGTCTCCAGAACCTGGAAAAGACAAACAGATTCTTCCCTAGAAATCCCAGAGGGATAGCTGCTCTGGCAACATCTTGATTTTAGTGTGATGAAACCCTTTGCAGATTTCCAGCCTCCAGGACTGTAAGATAATAATAAATTTGTATTATTTTAAGCCTTTCTGTATGTGGTAACTAGTTAAAGCAGCAGTATGAACCTAATACATTCACCATCCTGACGAAGTCTATTCCCCTTGACTTTCTTTACCCGTGGATCAGTCTCTGGGAAGATCTACTTTGGAGCTCATGCCTCACCACTACAAACATCAATTCCCTCTTCTTTGCTTCCTAAAGGAGAGTGATTTTTTTAATGTCCCTTATAGGTAATCTTGGAGAAAGTTCCGTTTTGCTGAAACCACTGATATTTCCCAGGTAGAAAAGGGAACCCTATTCTCCTCCTCCTCCTCCTCCTCCCTTCTTCCTTCTTCCTTCCTTTCTTTCTTTCTTCTTCTTCTTCCCCTTCTTCCCCTTCTTCTCCTTCTTCTCCTTCTGCTTCTTCTTCCTTTGTTGTTGTTGTTTTTGAGAGGGAGTATCACTCTTGTTGTCCAGGTGCTGGGATTACAGGTGTGAGCCACTGTGCCTGGCCTGATACAACTTATTACTACACTATTATCTAAATTATAAACTCTTCACACTCTGCTAGTTGGTTCCAAAAGTTCCTTCATAGTCATTTTCTTTCCTGGCACAGAATCAAATATGTGTGTACGCACTGAATGTGGTGTGTCTCTTTGGTTTACTTTAATTTGAAATAGTTTTTCAGCCTTTCTTTGCTGATTTTCCCCCAAGTTCTAGTTTATTTTATGTATGCTCTCTTAGAAACCTTTGCCTACAGTCCCAGACATGAAGAAATTCTTTTTTTTTTTTTTCTATAAGCTTTGTGGCTTAACTTCTATAGTTAAATCTATGATCTGTCTCAAATTTATTTTTTTTGTGTTGTGTGAGGCAGGAGTCAAGGTTCATTTTCTTCCATATATATATCCAGTAGTCCAAGCATCATTTGTTAAAAAGACTTTCCCCAGTTGGACTGCTTGGTTCCTTTGTAGAAAAATCTAAAAATTTTATAAGTGTTGGCCAATTCCTAGGCTATTCCATTGATCTATTTGTTGACCCTTACACCAGTGCCAAACATTCTTAATTTTTGTAGCTTCCTGGCAAGTATTGGAGTCAGGTAAATACATCCTCCAACAGTGTTCTTCCTTTTCAATATTTATTGAAGAAGTTCCCTTCTTTTATTTTTCTTCCTCCTTAGTTTTCTGACTTTTTTTTCCATAATGGATAGGTGCTGAAATTTGTCAAAATTTTTTGCATCTATTGAAATGATCGTATCAGTTTTCTTCTTCATTCTGGTAATTACCTTGATTTTCAAATGTTAAGCCAACCCATAATCGTGCAACAAATCCCATTGTTCATAATCTATATTTTTATATTTTATTATATATTTTTGGGTTCAAGTGTTTGATAGTCACTTGATGACTATTGTGGGTAGTGGGGCAATTCTGGACACCACAAATATAGAATATTTTCATCATCATAGAAAGTTCTATTGGACATCTCTACAGTGATCTATTTCTAAATAATTTCATATTATTCCTTCACATGTAAAATCCTTCATGAGTCATCAATATCTATAGGATATATGCGTTTTTGTCCAGCCTCAGTATACCTCTTGATCTCATTTTCTTATTATGTTCCCACACTTTCTTTCTTCTCTTGTCAATTTAGTTGCAGAATGCTTATGGTGTCATCGTGCTAGCTTTCATGTTAATCCTCTCTGGAATGCTGTAACACTTCTCACTTTTATTGTACACACAGTAGTTTGGTCTAGTCCTTTTTGGTTGTCATCAAGTCCTTTTTTTCTCTTACTCTCTTACCCCAATAGGTTAAGGAGTTAGCCAAAGTCTTGTTATAAAAAATGCACACACCATTTTCTAAGCAAAAGGCTTTCTGTGCGAGTGTAGTTTGACGATATAGAGTACAGTGAAGTTTTAGGCATAAACACATCAAAGCCTTCAGCAAGTTGAACTTTTGGATCTGAGATAGGTAATTCAAGAACAATGCTAAATCCTAGAATGTAGTTCTCCTTAGTGAAGGTGTGCTCGGCTGCTTGGAGAACAAACTGTTCAGAGGCCCCTCCTGACTTCTTCTCTATTTAAAACTCATGAGCTTCTGTTTCACAATGAGAGGTTCAATGGTCTTTGGGGGCACTTTTTTCATTTCTCATGCGTGAAATACTAGTTTGTTGAGAGCATATAAGGGCAATTTTGAAGGATTTTCTATGTAGACAATAATGTCATTTGTGGGCCAGGTGCGGTGGTAATCCCAGCACTTTGGGAGGTGGGAGGATCACTTGAGGCCAAGAAGTTCGAGACCAGCCTGGCCAATATGGTGAAACACCATCTCTACTAAAAATACAGAGCTAGACTCTGTCTCAAAATAATAATAATAATAATAATGTCATTTGTGAACAAAGATAAGTTTATTTCTTCCTTCCACATCTGTGTACCTTTTGAGTTTATTGTTTTACTGCATTAGCTAGGACTTCCAGTACAATGTTGAATAGGATTAGTGAGAAGGGACATCCTTGGTTTGTTCCTGATCTTTGCAGGGAAGCATCTAGTTTCTTACCCTTATGATGTTAGCTGTAAAGTTTTTGTAGATGTTCTTTATTAAGTATAAAGAGATCTCTCTGTCTTACTCAGTTCAGGTTGCTATAACAAAATGCCATATACTGAGTGGCTTAAATAATAGACATTCATTTCTCACAGCCGTGAAGGCTAGGAAGTCTAAGATGAAGGTGCCAGCAGATTTGGTTGCTGGTGAGGTCTCACTTCCTAGCTTGTTTTCCTAGCTTTTGTTTTCATTGAGTTTTTCCATTGATTTCCTATTCATTCGTTCATTCACCTTCTCATTGTGTTCTCACATGGTTATTCCTCAGTGTGTGCATGTGGTGGGGGGGGGGTAGGTGGGGAGAGAGACAGAGAGATCAAGCTCTCTGGTGTCTCTTTATAAGAGCACTGATCCCATTTTGAGAGTTCCATCTTCATCAGATAATCTAAACCTGATTAACTGCAAAAGGTCCCACCTCCATATGCCATCACATTGGTTGTTGGAACTTCAATATACACATTTGGTGTGGGACATACACATTTAGCCCATAGCACCTCTATCCCTAGTTTTCCCAGAGTTTCTCTTTTTAAAATCATGAATGGGTGTTAGATTTTGCCAAATACTTTTGCTGCTCTATTGATGTAATAATGTCATTTTTCCTCTTTAGCCTTTTGATGTGATGGATTATATTAATTGATTTTTGAATGTTGAAACATTCTTGCATACCTGGAATAAATTCTACTAGGTTGTGGCATATAATTCTTTTTATACATTGTTGGATTTGATGGGCTAATATTTGTTGAGAATTTTTACATTTATCTGTGTAAGGGATATTGGTCTG